ATGATTAATATTTTGACATATTTTCAAATTTATGCTTGTATACTAGAATTTCAGTATATAATGAGGATTTTTGGATCTGGCCTTAGCTTTTGCTTAATATTGATTTTGATACCTAGCCAAGCATCATTTGGCTAAACTGCACATTAAGTGAACCTCTACCACCTATCTTATACCACTTTGCCTCTCTGTGGGGGACAATTTTTGAGGTGGTCTTTATGATCCCCACCTCCTGGTGTTCACACCTCTGTATAATCCCCTCCCCTTGAGTGTGAGTGGGATGTGTGGCTTGATTTTAAACAGCAGAATATGGCAAAGGTGACTGGGATGTCACTCATGTGATGACAATATATGACTCCATCTTGCTAGCAGATTTTAAAGTCTTTCTCTCTCCATTGCTGGTTTGGAAAAAGCAGCCTGCCATAAGTCTTAAAGCCACAAGAAAAGAAACTGCTGAGAACTGGAGTGAGCTTGGAAGTGGACCCTTCCCCAGTCAAGCCTCTAAATGACAGCCCAGCCCCGGCTAAGACCTTGACTACAGTCTTAGGGAGGACCCAGCTAAGCTGTTCCTTGACACAAAAAACTATGAGATAGTAAATGTGTCATGAAAAGCCATTTAGTTGTGTTAGCTAGTAAAGGAATACACCTCAGCACTTCAACCCCTTTGACTTGTATTCAGCACTCTTGGTCTCTTAAATGTCACTCTCTCTACCTGGATTGTTCCCTCCCCTTCTTCACTTCACTTTCTCCTAGCTGCCTCTTTCAGGTTTTAACTGAATTGTTATTTCCTTTGGAAAGATTCTCTTAACTTCCATTTTGGAGACTTTTCTTCCTTAAAAAAATTGGATTGACAAAGTTGACACACTGGTTTTAAGTCATCCTTATAAAATGTGAAAAATTCCCAAATAATATTTTTTCCTAAAGGAATCATGAAATTATTAATTAAAATGTAATATGTACGTAAAGGTTATTTTGGTTACTGTTGTGAATGCTAATACCTCAAACAAGTCTACAGTTTAAAATTATAATATACTTGGATCTCTATTACATAACTTTTAAAAGACTTACTGTCTCCAAATTGATATAATATTCTCCCTAAGGTTATTTAGTGAGTGTATACTCCCATAATTTATATTAACTACCAATCTATTTCCATATTTAACTACTTGGAAGTTAAGTTTTATGTAGATAAATTTAACAGTTCTTAAAATCAGCATTATTGTATTTTATTCTTGCAAGAATATACACTTATTTTTGATTGATTGATATAATTGAAACATATAGAACATAAGATTTTCTCTCCAGTTTTATCTAGAATGCTTAACTATGTTTCAAAGTGAATATTAAAATATTAATAACCCTAAATGACTTCCATTATTCATATTACTGTCATTATTATGCAGTAGCCTAGAGGACCACCTGATCATGCACAACATTGATCATGTTATAAATAATGGTTTTGGAAGATTGTATTATTTGTTAAAAATTATTCATTTCTTCACCACCCTACAGGTAGAGTATAACTTACTGTCCCATTGTCCTTAGGACTGGCCAGTCAGTGACTTACTTTAGTCAATAGAATTCAAGTAGTTGTGATGTGCAGACTCTAGGATGGCCTCCACATTCCTCACCTCCTGGTATTCATACCCTGGTATTCATCCCTTTGAGTGTGATGGAACCTGTGACATGCATCTAAATGACAGAATATGGCAAAGGTAATGAAATGTCTTATTTGTGATTACACTACATTGTATAAGATCTAATCTTACTATCAGATTCACTTTAGATACCCTCCTTACTAGCTTGATGAAGTAAGCAGCCATGGTGCCATATTGTAAGGAACTGTGGCAAGGCTTCTAGGAACTCTGAGCAGCATCTAGGAACTGTGGGCAGCCACTAGGAGGTAAGGGTGGCTTTTAGGATCTGAAGGTAGTCTTCAGCTGATAGAAAACAGGGCCCTCAGCTCTCAGCTCTACAGCCATGATATCTGCCAACAATATGAGTGAACTTGGAAGTAGATTCTTCCACAGTCAAACCTTCATATGAGATTGCAGCCTGGCTGACGCCTTGATTGCAGCTTTGTGAAACTGTTAAATAGAGGACACAGTTAAGTCATGCCTAGACTTCTGACCCACAGAAACTGTGAAGTAATAAATATGTGTTGTTGTAAGCCACTGAGTTTGTGGTAATGTTGCAATAGAAAACTAATACAATGGGCATGATATACCTTACATCAGAGCAGAGTTTTAAATATCTTTTCATCGTTTGGCTCTGTCTCTCTTGAGCTTTTGACTTCCAAAAAGAGAAGCACGTGCCCAAGAGAATGGCAGTTCTTTCATCTTCGGTCCCTGAATCAGAAGATTCATGATGCTACCTGAACCCAGCTAAGGCCAGCAAAGTTGTAGCTAGCTATTAGCCTTCATGTAAGATGAAAAAAAAAAATGTTTGTTGTTGTAAGCCACTGAAAACTGAGGGTCGTTGGTTCCTGCAGCAAAAGCTAAGTAATTCAATGCTGAAGAAGATATTTGGCTATTCAGTGTTTAAATATCTAAGCCAAAGCCATACATGAATCTGAAAAGCAAGTTTGCCCACATAATGAGGTTGAAGCTGATGTTGGTACATCATTAGGCATAGATAGGCATGCAGAGCCTCATAGGTAATGGAAAGGCCTTTGAAATCTATTGCAATGACCTAAGCAGGAGAAGGGGTGATATAATCATATACAGCATGAACAACAGTCTACAGAAAGTAAGAAATGACACAAGAAGAATAGTTAGGCAAATGATGTAGTTCAGAGGATAATACTGTGGAAAAATAAGTAAATAGATTGGAGATATATTTAGGAAACAGAATTGATAGGACTTGGTGATCAATTCTATATGGAAGGGGTGAGAAAGAGGAGGATGTCTGAGATTACTCTAAGACTTCTAGCTTTTCTAGTTGTTTGGAGAGGAGTATCAATCACTGAGGGAACCAGGTTTGGGAGGGGAAAATCAAATATTTAATTTTGGATACATGAATATTTGGGTTTTGGGGTGTCATTGGGCTAACCAGATATAAAGCTTTGGAGCTAAGAAAAAATCTGAACTGGAGATATAAATTTGAGAGCCAGCTTTATATGGGAGATAAACTAACCATGGGTATGTATGATTAAGAAAGAGGGAGGGTTGGGCGAGAGCATACAGTAAGAAGAGAAGAGGGGCCTAGGACCAAGTTTTAAGAAAGTCTAACATTTAATAACTGTATTGAGGAGGAAAAGCCAGTGTAAGATATCACCAGAATATGAAGCCCACAGCAAGGCCTTCATGAAATGTTACTACCCTGTATTTCTGAAGTGTTTACTATGAGCTTGGGGCACTGTGCTAATATTAGCAGTATAAATTAGTTTCTGCCCTCAAGAAGCCCACAGCCTAAAGGGAGAGACAGAAAGTATAAACAATGATCATATGCAAATACTATACACTATTATTACTATATCAAAGGAATGTTTCTGAAGGAAGTAAAATCTGAGTTGACACCAAATGACACGCTGGAATTAGCTAAATAGGGAATTCAGGGAGAGGGGCGGTGGATTTTCAGACAGAAGGACCGGTCGTTGGGAGTGCAGAGAGGGATGAGACTGCATGACATGTTTGCAGAACCAGCCAGAGCTAAGGATGAGTGTGAGAAGGTGTCAGGGGTCGTAGCTGGAGAAGCACATAGGAGACAGAACACCAAGGGCCTTATATGCAAGGAATCAGGACTTCATCCTCTGGGCAGCCACGCTAATTAGAGGGACCTGGGCCAGTGTGCAACTTGGGGACAAAATTTGGAGCATGGTGTTATGTAGCTAGGCAGGTGTTTGTTCTTCAGTTTAATAACCACCAAAATATCCCCTTCAGTTTAATAACCACCAAAATATCCCCTTCACAGAACTGATAAAAGGGTACAAGGTCACAGAGTGAGGAGGGCAGAGCCAGCTCCAGGTCTAAGGGTTTTGAGTACCATTCCAGCAAGTTCCCAAATACATGGTTTTTCTCACTCAGAGATTGTTTCAATAACAGACATGGTTTAGGCAATCTTTTGTCAAAACTGGATGTTTTTTAATAAAAGGTTTTAGTAACGGTCTGAGTTTTATGACAGGCTTATTTGATAGAACAAATTATCTACCAGCCTGTGGGAAAGTGACCAAAATTATGTTCTAAATGCATAGTATTATCCAATTTAGCCACAGTCTCATTATTCTTTTCTATCTGCCTCTCCTCACTCTTACCACTGCCCATTTTTCTAAAAGAAAACTAAAGATTCCATATTTGTAAAAAGTACTTAAATATATAGTCATTTATGAGATTTCTAAACAGTAGGTGTTTAAGCTTAGCCTAAATAAGAGTTTTTTCTCAATTATAAGTTATCATTTATTGTATCTGCTGAGTTTGGTCTGCTATTTCATATTTATCAAATTTACAAATGAGGAGAAATCAGGGAACAAATTGTTATTTTTTTCAGCACTTTGACTTATTCACATTTAATCTAATGCATTTTCAAGTTGGAAAGATTTTTCACTCATGGCTTTTTCCCAGATTTTTTCCTTTGCAAAAAATACAATCAACTCAACACCCAGGGAGGTGAATTCCATTAATTATCCTTTTCAGATAGAAAATCAGTAGCTGGGAGGAAAATGGGAATTCAAAGCCATGTTATTTTACTCTGTTAACGGCAGTAAACAACTCCAAAATGAAGGGTCATATTGAAGAAACTTAAGCAGTTTATAAACAGAATGCAGCCTGTTAAGGAGGGAGGTTTTGCCAGGACACCTTAGTGATTGGCCATGTTTGAATAATGCACAGAATGGGCAAGATTTCCATGTGATATGAATTGATTTTCTTTATCAACAATGGAATTCAACCTTTCTGTCTAAACTACTTTCAAATCCTACTTCTTCAGTGATAGTTTGTCATACTTTTGCTAGACAAATTTTTAAAAATCTCATTGCAAATCCTATTTAGTGCTAAAATAAGAATGTCTTTGGTGAAATCTTTTATTGTATATATTTAAGGTGTACAAATCATGTTTTGACATCCATATACATAGTGAAATGATTGCTACAGTCATGCAAATTAAATATGCATTACCTCACATAATTACCGTCTTTTGCAGTAAGACCACCTGAAATCTACTCTTCGAAAATTTCCAGTATACAATACGGCATTATTAACTATAGAACTTATGCTGTACATGAGATCTCTAGATTTATTCATTTCATGTAACTGCAACTTTGTATGCTTTGACCAACATCCCTATTTCTTCCACCTCCATGCCCCTGTGTGTTCGACTTTTTTAGATTCCACATATGAGATTATGCAGTATTTTTCTTTCTGTGTCTGGTTTATTTCACCTAGCATAATACCCTCTGGGTTCATCCATTTTGTCACAAATAGCAGGCTTTTATCAAAAGGACAAGGGATAACAAATGTTGATGAGGGTAGGGAGAAAAGAGAGCCCTGGTACATTGTTGTGGGAATGTAAATTAGTGCCCCATTTTGGAAAAGAGTGTACATTATTCAAAATATTAAAAATAAAACTACCAGATGATGCAGAGATTCTTCTTCTGGGTAAATGCCCAAAGGAAATGAAATCAGTATGTTGAAGAGATACCTGCACTCCCATGTTCACTGCAACATTATGCTCTGGTGGAAACTAATGTAAAAATATTTTAGTTACTGCAGTAGCAAAGAGATGCATGGGTTTAGCCTATTGCACATAGCTGTGGAAATCAAGCAAGAATGTTTTGCATTGCCATACTAGGGTAAAAAGTGATTATGTGTGTATTTCTGTATATAAAGTATTATATAATTGTATATTTATACTTATCTGTCTCTTTCATTAGGATAAAAGCCCCACGAGAGTGGGGACTTTATCTGTCTTGTCCACTTCTGAATCCCTGGACCACAAAACAGATTTTTGGCACATGAGTTGAATGAATGAATGGCATTGCACACTTACAATCCATTTTGTTTAATTTACAAACAGCAAAAATGCTACAATTCTGAATTTTAATGAAATAAAGTGTTTAAAAATTACAGAGCTGTTTTAAAGATTAAATGAGGATTTCTGTTTTAAAAACGTATATTTAGATAGAAAAAATAGTGTCAGCAAAGATACGTGAAAGTGCTTAACCCAGGGTAGGAAACTCAATAACATTTAAGTGGACTTCAAGCCTAAAGATAGGTTCGAGGAGGAGTAGATGTTTTCCCTAAACAAGCCTCAAATTGGACCTTAAGTGGTTCACACGCAAATCAGTTCTTTCTCTATTGCTCTGAATGGGTTGTTTTCTTGGGAGTAGAGAGAGTCATCTGGCAGGCAGCTGACAGACTACATTGTTCTCATCAAATGGTAGTACTGAGCTTGCCAGAAAATTTTACTCACAGAAGGTGGGGAGCTCCCAAGGCTGAAACGTTTTATCTGCAGGTCCAAAAATGTCTTGACCTGGTGCACAGAACAGAGTAGGTAAGGAAAGGAACCACCATCTATGGAGAACCTACCATACGAACAGCTCTACCAGAGATCTCATTTGATTCCAACTTTAGCTTTATAATAAAAGGTAGCATTCATTGCGTACTTATTGTCCTAAGTACTTTGCATGGATTAACTCAATAATTTCTGACATCAACCCAAGGATTATTTTTGTTTCCACCTTTAGACAGAAGAAGACATCCAGGTACAGGGAAGTTAAACATACTCAAGGTTACACAATGTATAAGTGGTGGAGCCAGTACAAAACTCTATGTGGTGTGAGTTTCAGTGTCCAGGCTTGGAACTGCCTCCATAAGAGAAGGATTATTATCCTCATTATTTGCTAAGGCTCAATAAATAAAGTGACTTCCGAGGTCACATTAACAGAGCTATCTGACTCCAAAGCTGAAGATGCTTTACTTTTCCTTATATTGTTCTACTTCAATCTCACCTCAATAAAAATAAATCTAGCAGCTAACATTTATTAAACACCTACTACATGACAGACATTATTTTAAATGCTCATATGAATTATCTCATTTAATCATCATAGTAACACTTTGAGATGGGGCTGTTATTAGCCCCCTTTTATAGATGAAGGCTGAGAGGAGTCAAGTAACTTATTAAGGTGACACAGTAAGTTGGTAGAGTCAGGATTTAAAACGTGGTTTATTTGCCCAATGAACAGAAGCTCTTATCCATTCTACCACAATATTTACCTAGAAAGATTGTTCCTGCTTCCCAATAGTAGTCCCTCCCATCTCTGTTATTTTCACTGAAGTCTTAGTACAAGGCAGAGACTACTCTTTCTCCTAATACTGCTGGGTCTTCCAGGTCTTCAAGGGGAAGGTTGCAATAGCAAAGTCACTCCCAAATTCAAATGGTACAAATATTGTACCCTTTGGATTCAGGAATGAAGTACATGCTCACCCTCAACTCAGATTTTTGTCAAGAGGAATGAGACTGATAGAAATAATCAATAGCTTTAAAAAAAAAACACATATTGAGAAATAATTCAACTACCATTTAGTGCACCCATTTAAAACGTATACTTCAATGGTTTCCAGTACATTCACAGAGTTGGGCAACCATGACGACAATCTAATTTTATAATATTTTCATCACCCCCAAAAGAAACCTCATGCCTATTGCCCCTGAACCCCCAGTCTTGACAACTACTAATCTGCTTTCCACCTTTATAGATTTGCCTGTTAGGGACATTTCATATAAATGAAATCATACTATATGTGGTCTTTTATGACTGGCTCCTTTCACTTAGCATATTTTCAAGGTTCATCAATGTTGTATGTGTCAGTACTTTATCCATTTTTATGGCTAAATAATACCCTATTGTATGGATATATCAAAGTTTGTTTATAAAATTCCTCAGTAGATAGACATTTGGGTCATTTCCACTTTTTGGCTATTATGAGTAATGCTGCTTTAAACATTCATGTTCATGCTTTTGTTTGAACACCTGTTTTCAATTCTCCTGGGCATATACCTAGGAATGGAATTGCTAAGTCGTGTGGAAATTCTATGTTTAACTTTTGTAGAAACTGCCAAGCTGTTTTTCAATGAGGTTGCATCAATTTACATCCCCATCAGCAATGTATGAGTGTTCCAATTTCTTCATTTCCTCACCAACACTTATTATTGTTTGGCTTTTTGATACAGCTGTTCTAGTGGGTATGATGTGGTATCTCATTGTGGTCTTGATTTGCATTTCCCTAATGAATAGTAATACTTGAGCATCTATCCCTGTGCCTGCTAGCCAGTTGCATATTGCTATAAGCTGAATGTTTGTGTCCTCTCCAAATTCATATGCTGAAGACCTAATCCCCAATGTGATGGTATATGGAGGTGGGGCCTTTGAGAGGTAAATTGGTTTAGATTAAATCACGAGTGATTTCATAATGAAATTATGATGCCCTTATAAGAAGGGGAAGAGACCATATCCCTTTCTGTCTTTCCTGAGGACACAGCCAGAAGGTAGCCATCTGCAAACTAGGAAGTAGACCCTCACAAGTCATTGAATCTGCTGGCACCTTGATCTCAGATTTCCCAGTCTCCAGGACTGTGAGAAATAAATGTTTAAATGTCTGTTATTTAAGCCAATCAGTCTATGGTAGTACGTTATAGCAAACCAAGCATATAAGACACATATTTTCTTTGAAGAAATGTCTATTACAATCTGTTACCAATTTTTAATTGGTTATTTTTATCATTGAGTGGTAAGAGTCCTTTTTATATTCGAAATATTTGATATGCAAATATTTTCCCTCATTATGTTGCTTTTCTTTTCACTCTTTTGATATGATATCTTTTAAGTACAAAAGTTTTTAATTTTGATATACTCCAATTTATTTATATTTTTTGTATGACGTGTGTGACATTGTTACGTGTGTGACATTAGGAAGACTTACTACAATGTTTTCTTCTAAGAATTTTATAATTTTAAATCTTACATTTTATGATCAATTTTGAATTGATTCTTGCATGTGATTTAAGGAAAGCTTCATTTTTTTCCCATGTAGATACCCAGTTATGTCAACACCATTTGCTAAAAAACTATACTCCCCTCAATTTCTCTTGGCATCCTTGTTGAAATTAACTAGCCACATATGTGAGGATTTATTTCTGGACTCTCAATTTAATTCCACTTATTTATACATCTATCTTTGTGCCTTTACCACACTGTCCTTATTACTGTAGCTTTGCAGTAAGTTTTGATATGTATGAGCCCTCCAACTCTGTTCTTTTTAAAGATTGTTTTGACTCTTCTGGGTCCCTTGTAATTTCACATGAATTTTAGAATCAGCTTGTCAACTTATGCAAGGAAGCCACTGGAATTCTGATAAGGACTGGATTAAATCTGTAGATCAATTTGAGGTACATTTCATCTTAACAATACTAAGTCTTCCAATCCATGAACATGGAGGGCTTTTCCATTTGTTTAGATCTGCTCTGATTTCTTTCGACAATGTTTTATAGTTTTCAGTGTAAAAGTTTTGCACTTCTTTTGTTAAAGTATTCCTATTTTTTTGCTTTTTAATGCTATGTAAATTGAACTGTTTTCTTAATACCATTTTAGGATTGTTCATTTGATCTTGTGTTTTAACCTTGTATCCTGCAACTTTGCTGAATTCATCCAGGCAGGTAGTTGTGAGCAATATGAGAAGAGCAAAAATATGCCTGGGATAAGGAAAAAATGAATTTAGTAGATCAGGACTATAATAATGGTTACCAGGTACTGAATACTTTTTTGACAAGTCAGTACTTCCCACATTCTAATATGTACATGAATCTTCTGGAAATCTAGTTAAAATTCAGATTGCTATCACCGAGTTTGGGGTGGGCCTGGGATTCTGCCTAATAACTACTTGGATTGTTAGTGGCTTTTATTTATTATTTTTGAGTTACAATAACTCTGCAAGCTGGATAATACTGTTCCCATTTTACAGATAAGAAAATGACCTCAGAAGTTAAGCTAGTAGCCTAGATTCATTGAATAAGTGGCAGAACCAGGATTTGAACACAGTTAATTTTAATGCCAAAGCCAAAGCTGCACTCTTTCTACTCTACCACACTGGATATCTTGAGTAGAAGGAGGATAGTTGGAATATGAACAGAATATGGATCACAAAAAAGAAAGCTTTTCAATGTCAGAGTTGCTGCCTGGAATACATTCGAGTCTAATCTTTGAGGCTGATTTGGAGAGCAGAAGATCAGCAAGACCCTTGCTTTCCAGGGAGCTAAGAGTGAAGGTGTGAGATTGGAGTATCAGCTGAAAGTAAGATAAAACTACTAGAAAGAATTCAAGATTAGATGAAGTCTAGAAAGAACGTGGCTTACCTTCAATCAGGCTAGATTCCAGAATTGGACTCTATACTGCTTAGGTCTATACCTGAGATTACACCATTGTTGACTTTTTCTGCATTCTAAACATGGGGTTAGACTGGTTGTGATGTTGCCACTGACTAACCAGAGAGAAAGAAATATATCAGTGAGCTAAAGGGCAGGGCTGTGTTCTTGAGGTCCTTCTAAGTAGAAAAATACCATGCTTCAATACTGTGATAACAATAGAAATAACCAGTGGTTAAAACTCTGTGTTCCCTCTTCAGGGTGCTCTTGAAACAGATGTCTAAAAGCTGTTCCTCTAAAAAGGCTATGGCAGATCCTGCTATTTAACTGGGGATGATGAATGGTATATCATTAATACCATCCCTCAGAGGCCAGAGTAAGGGTTTAGGGATGTGGGTAAGGATCCGGTCTTTTGAAGGAGAAGTTCCAGCAGAATCTTTAGACTTCCATCACCTGAGTCAAAACACATGAGATTTTTTCTTGTCCTTAGCACCTTTTATTGAAATATGACCCTTGATGACAATCTGGCAGGCATATCTATGTCAGCCAAGAAGGGAGTGGTGGAGGACACAAATGCAGAAACAATAAGATTTGGAAAAATAATAGCTTCACATGGGATACATGACCCCCAACAGCTGGTACAACCAACATTGGTTCTTTATCTATAGAAACTGCCCCCTGCCCCACCCCCCTCTAAAAGATCTACTAATCTTCAAATAATATAATATGCTGTTGCAGAAATATTATTGGCATAGACAACTCCTCTGGCAAAGACAGTGGGAGTCACCAAGCTCCAAATGGGTGGAAGTGGCCAGAAATGGGACCAGCTTCTTCCATCTGGGGCCTGCTACTGGCAGAGCAGCACCTTCAGGGAGATTTGGGTTCAGAATGTGGCTCTGGTGTGCCTGGGCAGCTTTTTGGCACATGAGTTTAAATAGAAAACAGAACCTGAACCTAACCTTGAAAGAGGCTTTTCATCTTTTCATCCTCTCTCCTTTTCTCTGCTTCCAATTTCTTCCTTTCTAGGACTTTATTTTCAGCATCTCTGTCTTATTCTGTCGGATTCTACTTGGGCATTTATGGCTATATCCTGGCTGAGTCTCCAGCTGTGGAACTCAGGGAGACTCAATTATCCAGAGTCCTTGCAGGTGGCCAGGGAAGTGGGGGGACATGTAATAGTAACTCATGCACTGACTTCTCTATCAATCATCATGCTTGCCTATTACCCATGAGGGCCTGTATAAATATTTGAAGGGAGAGAGCAGAAGTCAAGACCAATAACTGTCTTTGGGGATCTCCTTTGGCCTGCCTTCCAAACTGCTACTCACTGGCAGGGCTTGGAGGAGGGCTGAGCCCAGGAACTGAGAACAGGGGAGAGACACTACATCTCAAGTAATACTGGCAGCTTTGCAGCACTATCACACACAATGAGTCTGCCCTGGCAGGAGTGTGGCACGCCAGTGTCTGTTTAGCAGTTCACCTTTATCTACCAAGCTTCACTGTTAGGTATAGTTTTGGGGTTATTTTTAAGTGCTTTGGCAACTTTCCCTGCATGCGAAAATGAACATCTTTGTGATCTGATTCCAACTCTAGAAACTAATTTGAGGTGGGATGAAGAACAAAAATAACAGAGTCAATAGTATTTTTGGCATCATAAACTGAAGATACAACCAATCACATGCTGACTAGAAAAACTCAAGACTATGGCCATAGTGTCCAAGGAAGTGATCATTCCTTTCTGTAGGCCCATATTACCAAAAAGTTGTTCTAATCAACAAATCTGAGAATGATGGAACATATCAGCCTCATCCTGCCAACACAGGACACCTCAATTTGCTCATTGTTTGTCCTAGAGCCTGCTCAGAAGAAAAGATAACAACTATGGCCTCCATTCAAAGCATTCCCCTACCTTCTCAATCTTGGCTGGCTTGTGTAATCCTAGACCTTGCAAGCCACCAGCCTTCCTGAATAAAGTAGAATCTTCCACTGGAGGGGAAATGGCAGGGTTGCCATTCTAACAGTGTTTCCAGCAGCAGTACTAAGAGTAAACCCAGGGCTCCACAGAAAGGCTTACCGCACCCCCCACCCCAGGACACCCTGCTGGCCAAGATTCTCCCATTGTTTTCAAATACAATGAAGAGGAAATGGAAGCTAGTGAAAAGTATTTGTAACAGCAGCAAAACTTCCTTGGCAAATTCTTTGGCTGAAGGAGACATCCCGGCTGCTACAGTTGACCTTCAAGGACCCTGAGGAACTCAGCAGTAACTAGCAGAGATGCCAGGCCTTGTCTGGGTTGCATGATACCAAGCACTGACTCCAGTTAGTGAGAAACAGCTGAGCTGGATAACAGGGCAGCATTGGACCATAACCCCCTTTTTTCCATCGTCCACCTGAGGGCTACCTTTCCAGCATAGAAACTAGCTACTGGTGTCAGGGCCTTGGCAACAGCAGCAGTTTTAGTTGTTTGCATGCCTAAGATCCTGGCTGGGTCATCAGTTGCTCTGGGGAGCTGGCTTTGGCTGGAGCTCCCAGCTACCTTAGTTTTGGTTCCCCTTAGCCAGGCCACAGGCTGAGAAAGCAATAGTTAGAGGAGTTCCTCCTGAGGTCACCTCTACTCATCCCATAGCTTGGAGATGGTAGAGAAATGGCTGAACCTTTCTCTGTTTCAGATTTCTTTGGTTTCAAAGAGAACTCAGTAAGAAAAACTTGAACCCTGCTGGGGAATGCTAAACTCACAGTCACTTAGGCTTCAGGGAAGCACAGGGCCAGGCCACAGTAGGAAGGCTCTAAGTTCAAGGGGAGAACTCATTCCTAGACATTGATAGCTATGGTGGGAACAATATTGGTACCTGCTTACCTAGCCATGGTGGATTCAGGCTGATCTGCAGAAAATGCTTTCCTCCTGGGCTAACTTTTCCCTCTCCAACTTCCCTCTTCTCACCTTACTAGTTTAAAAAGAAAAAAATAATCAAAACATAAAAATAAATAAAATCAAAATGCCATTTAAAATATAACAATAAGAACCACCTCCCCCAATAATGAAACCTACATCTAAAAGTCAGCTTTAGTAGAGCTATTAATGGCCCATATGGTGAAGCCCTGGGGTAGGCACGTGGGGTAACCCCCAGCAATGAAAAGGAAAGATGAAACAAGAGGTGGTAGGACCAAAGTCTTAGGACAGGAAGTGGGTCACACTATCCAGGGCTAAGAGTAGGACTCTTCCCCTGAACTTGCTGCTGGGAAAGGTGAGGGTAGAGTGGATTTAAACCTGGTTCCTTCCTAAGGGTCACCTGGGAATACTCAACGTTTGCTTGCATTTTGTTCAGTATAATTCCTCCTTCTGTGCTTTTCCCTGCAAAGCGTGGATGAGGCCGTGAAACTGGTGCCAGGTGAATGCCCTCAAGGCGGCCAGCTCTCTGTGAGAAATGGCTGGGCCACAAGCCCTGGGGCAGAGTAGAACTGCAAGGAAGCTTCCCTCTGAGCCTTTAGAGGCTATTGATGATATGGGTGGGTGATGAGCACTTGATGTCTTTGGTGTCCTAGTACAAAGCAGAATGAAGGCACTTAGTTGGCTCTCTGTGCAACAAGTACTTGCCCTTGGCAACTGTGGGAAGGAGAGTGTGGTTGTAAGATCACACCTTGCTGCAGCTCCCTTGGGTAGAAGCCTGTGGCTTCCCCAAGGTCTCCTAGCTGGTTAGGACCACTGTTAAGGAAGGAGCAGTGAGAGACATCCAGGGTAGAGGGCTGGAACAAACTGCTAATTGCTATCTATTTGCTGAGAAACTGCTAACAAAGAAGATTGAAAGCACTTCCCACTGTGGCTGGGCAGGGATGCTGTGGCAGACTGCTGGCAGAATTAGAAATTGCTGGGCCCCAGGAGTAGACTCTCCCTGAGACATTTGAGCTGCTCTTCCCCAAGCTTGATCTTCTCCTCCAGCTCTCGCTGTTCAATGATGAGAGCAGATTTCATCTTGACAAAGTGCTGGTAATCTTGGAGCTGGTCCTGAGGCAGGTAGCGGGAGACCATGCCAAACACCAACTTCTCCCGGCGGTCCACGTGCTCCTTCAGCTCCTTGGCATCTGCCAACTGCCCCGTCAGCTGCTGCTTCTTCTCTATCAGCACCAACTGGGGGAGCAGAAGACCAATCAAGGACTCTTTCAATTACCAGGCATCTGTCTAACAGTGCTGTCTAGTAGTACTCCACCAGAGATGTTGCCACAAAGCAGCTATCCATTCTGCTAATTAGTCAGTCCTAGATTTTCCGCCCTAAAGTCCACCTCCATGCAAAAGCCTTTGTTTCCAGTAGCAGGAGGGTAAACATGACAACAATTCTGGACAGGGGATGTGAAATCACCTCTTTCCATCTCTTTAAGGCTGTCTTCAATGTAGGGACCACCACTGGGCTTGGGGTGGAGGAAGGCTCGGACAAAGCCAGCCTGTGTCCCTTTCATCTGGTAAACAACTGTCACTGTGGAGGTGCTTTCTGTATGGTGTGTGTGTGTCTCTGTGTGAGTGGATATGTGTGAGTGTATGTGTCTGTGTATAAATGAATATGTATGTGCATATGTGCCTCTTGCTGTGGATTCAAAGGTATATCCAAAGCCACTTGTATAGGAAAAGGTGATGCAATTTTGGTTCAGGAATAGATGCATAGTGACTCAACCTGTGAAACTGACAGCTTTCTAATATCAACTACTTGATGAGACCTACCCCTCCAAAACTGCTGAGTTTGCCTCATGAGTGAGGCAAAACTGCTGCTGCTGCTACTACTACTCAGAGCTAGTACTGATTCAGTGTTTACCCTGTCCCAGGCCCTGTTTTATGTAATTAACATGAACTAATTTAATTCTCACAATAATCCCGTAAGGCAGGAAGTATGTTCACCCCATTTTATAGATGAAGAGATTGAGGCAGAGTAATGTTACGTGAGTTGTCCACAGTCACATAGCTAAGAAATGGTAGAGCAAGAATTTCAGGGCACTTAAAAGCCAGTGTTCACAGTCTTATTTTTCCTTTTTTCATGTTTCTTTTTTGTTTTTTTCCTCTGTCACCCAGGCTGGAGTGCAGTGGTACAATCTTCACTCATGGCAGCCTCTAACTCCCAGGCTCAAGCAAGCCTTCCACCTCAGCCTCCGGAATAGCTGGGAGTATAGGCATGCACTACCACACCAGGTTAATTTTCGTGTTTTTAGTAAAGATGGGGTTTCATTAAGTTGCCCAGGTTGGTCTTGAACTCCTAGACTGAAGCAATCTGCCCACTTTGGCCTCCCAAAGTGCTGGGATTGCAGGCATGAACCATCGCGCCTGTCCTCAGTGCTCACACACTTTTAACCCTATCCTCTACTGTTTCCCATATAGCCCAACTTTTTGAAAGAGAGAGCCCTGAAAAGAAACAAATGGCATTTCCTTCTACCCACACCCCAGAAACCCCAACTCTACCTTCTCTTGGTTGGCCTCTGAATCGATGCTATTGAGAGCATTCTCTACCCGGGCCAGTCGTCCAGAGAGTGACAGCAACAGGTTGACCACTTTGTCCAGGTCCCCAACAAACAAGCGGTATTTTTCAAATTCATTGGATTTGCAGACGGCTTTTAAGTTGGCCTCCACCTCCTCCCCAAGGGCAGAATTGGCATTGATGTCCTCTAGCAGCCCTCGCTGGGCCTCCCGCAAGACAGAAAGTTTTCTGCTGATGCTTTCAATAAGCTGTACCTAGGGGAATTAAACAGAAGACAAAGGATGAGAATGGGGACCAACAGAAACTGATTTATGCCTGTAACCTCTGTTTTGGAATACAAGGAAGAGACAGTGGGCTCTATCCTAGTCACTGGAAACAAAGGAAATTTGGGCAAGTCATGAGCAACTCCAGCCTTTTGGGCAAGCAGCTTCTTTCCGTCTGGTAGGGATCTCCATGTCATCACCAAAGTTTTTGGCATTGGGTAAGTGATACCCATACGCTAAGCTTCATCTACCAAATGCAACTTAATATAATAAATACTTGCTGGAACTGTTTTTTTTTTTTTTTTTTTTTTTTGAGATGGAGTCTTGCTCTGTTACCCAGGCTTGAGTGCAGTGGCATGATCTCAGCTCACTGCAACCTCCACCTTTCAGGTTCAAGCGATTCTCGTGTCTCAGTCTCCTAAGTAGCTGAGATTACAGGTGCACGCCATAGATGTCAGGCTAATTTTTTTTATTTTTTTTATTTTTTTTTATTTTTAGTAGAGACAGGGTTTCATGATGTTGGCCAGGTTGACCTCAAGTGATCAGCCCCCTTCAGCCTCCCAAAATGCTGGGATCACAGGCGTAAGCCTCCGCACCCAGTCCCTTCCTGGGACTATTTAATAAATAGGAGTTATAGTCCTTGTGAGAGCCTAGGTTGGAAAAGCATTTGCCCTAAGGTATTTGCCTATCACTTCATTCATTCTCCTTCAATCCATTTAAGTACCTCTCATGTTCATGGCACTGTGCTAGGTCTTTGCTTCCTCAGCTTGGCTTTTAGGCCTTTTGGATAAGACTGAGTTCTGGAGTTATAATGACTGGGTTTGACTTCTAGCTCTGTCACTTTCTAGCTGTGGGACCTTGGGTGACTTGACATTCTTGAGTTTCACTTTCTTTATCTGTAGAATGGGGGTAACTGTTGTACCCACTGCATTGGGTCATAAAAAGGAGTCAGTGAGGTGATGCATGCAAAGTGCTTGGCCCATAATAAGTGCTCCATAAAAGCTGGGCTGCTATTATTGATTACTCACTCTGGTCCCACCTTGCCATTCTAATGTCACTCCTCAGAGTCTTTCAGAATTAGCTCCTCACTCTCCTCTGTATTCACAACACTCATTTTTGTGTTCCTCAGTAGTTTATGCAATTCCACCTATTCTTTATCTCTTTCTTCATTTTGGTTATTCCTAAATTTCTTTAGGGGACAGCTCTGCCCCTCCCCTCCCCCACAGGAAGCCCTCTTCTGTAAGTCTTCTCTCAGTGATCTTGTTTTGTCTGAGCTTTTAAGTATTTTAGAATTAGAACCCTACAGTGTAATTTGAAGTTCTTCACTTTCTATTCCGTGTGTGTGTCTGATCCCTCACCTACTGTTGATTGTAAGTTTCTGTGTCTTCTGATTTGTCTCCCCTATAGGTGAGTGCAGTCACAGGGAAGTACAGTAGAGTTTTAGAGTCAGAGACATCTGGATTCCAATTCTAACTCCAAACTGTATGGCCTTATGATAGATACCTAATGCCACTAAGACTTCTGTTTCTTCATCTGTAGACACTTCCCCAACTCCAGAGATTTTCTGATGGTTAAATGAAGCCACATAAGTAAAAGACTTAGTATTATGACTGACACTTAAATGCTCAATGCATGTTTACTAATGCTATTATTATTATTTAGTTCTACATCATACTCCAAATGAATGGATACTTGTCTAGCTTCAAGGTTATGACAATAATGGCCCTGTCCCAGTCTGCCCATAGCCTTTGCAGCCAGTATTGTATTGTGGTTAAGGGCACAGACTCCAGTGCCAGATTACCAGAGTCTGAACTCCTGCTCTGATGCAAAGTAATGGTATTATATATGACCTTCAGCAAATTACTCAACCTCTCTGCACGTCAATTTCCACATCGAAAAAATAGGATAACAATAGGACCTACCTCACGGAATTGTTATGAGAATTAAATAAGTTAACACATGTTACATGTTTAGAATAGTTATCTTGTACATAGGAATATCCTTCAATGTATGTTTTAATCTTTTTCTAGTCCAAGCACAGGGACCATAGGCTTGTAGTTTTCTAGAATATATTCCTCTCTAGTAGTTTATTTAGAGATGTCCAAAATGACCAGGACTAAGAGAGCCTTCTCCAGGCTCCAAGACCTGTTGTCACGTTTTTGAACCCTTCAAAAGTCAGGAGATCATTATAATCTTAGTCTGAAGTATAATAGATATGCATTTAGGAAAAATTCCAAAACCCACTGGGAACTGGGTATCAGTGATATGAAGGAGGCAACACAATTAGATGCTAAAATGCTGCCAGTTATATTCCCACCATCTGCTCTCCCAAACAAAAGTCAATGCTGGGGACAAAGGATGGCCAGGGGCCATCTGGAAAATGACCCACTTGGAAAATCACCTACCAACCCCAGTTCCCAGGCTCCAGGGATAGATGGAAGGATAAGCGGTGAGGGCGCTTTATTTCTTGGGACTTGTGCTCTACAACCTGAACCTTGATCCTGAAGAAGTGTACTGGATAGAGTTGTGGAGTCATCACAGATCCAGCCAGAGCTAAGTTGTTTTTTCTGGGACATCGCAAATTGGTGACATTCCTCACCTTTCTTCCTCAGAGACAAAGTGTCGTAGCCCACCCACAATCACTTCAGGTCACTTTCTGTTGTTCTGTGCTCTGCCTTTTCTGATCATCTCTTTCTTTTCCTGGTCAGAGTTTTTTTTATTAGGTTTGCCCCTGCAGAGGCCAGGCCATGAGTAAGCTAGGAGTACCCCTGCCATGCTCACAGAACATGGAATCCAAGGAAACAGATATCTGAATCAATAAAACTTCAACACTATCATGCTTCCAATTCTTCCCCTGACATTTTGCTTCAGATAGGAAATTGGAAGAAAGGCTCTTGCATATGGCCCTGTACCTTCCTACAGGTCATGTTCTGAAAGAAGTATGGGCAGAAGAACAATTTACATTGACTTCAGATGTCCGCAAAGAGGCAAATTGAGCCTTTGAGGTTGCCATGACAACCCTATTTGCTTATGAAATACAATAGGTAAGTGCAGGGAGGGCAAAGTAATTCCAAGAATTCATTAGAAAACCAGACTAGTGGTACTCAGACAAAGAAAGGAAAGCTTTGGAACAACAACATCATCATCATCCCCATTTAACTATTTTGTGTTTTTAAGACATAATTGACTATCTTTGCAAATAAACACTAAAGTTTGCCAGCCTATAATTTGTCCTTATTTTACTTAGTCTGTTCTGTCTCCCAGGAAGTTGCACAAAGAATAAAAATCAATGGCACTGCCATTGGGTACAAGAGCCCACTGGCAGAAGCTCTGATGTGTCCTGAGTAGTGAGTTAATTACAAGGCTGGCTCAATTCAGAGAGACAGCATGTACTGTAGAGTAGAAATTCAGACAGTCTTGACTTCAAGTGCTGGATCTACCATTTAGTCTGCACCTGGGCAAATTAGTCCCTTCAACTATTAAAAATACCCAATCTACCTTGTTGGGCTGTTCTAAGGATCACAGAGACAATAATGATGATTATGACTATTATTATTATTGACTGGATCAAAAATAGAGTGGACTTGGAACTGTGAGAAACCCAGAGAAACTGTACGATTTCCATACTGAAAATATGGGAATGTGAGATATTCTAGAGAGTGTAGAAGGTTGGTCATCCTCCAGACACATTCAAGCTAAATTGTGAAAATCTCTAGGACACATCAAAAAACTTTACCTTTTTTTGAGCCAGTTCATGGTCAACTTCCTCATCTCCTAAGCCAATCTCTGCCATCTCGGGTTGATCTTTCAGTTTGATCAGCAGCTCTGCCTTGGCCACAGAAATATTGTAATAAGCTGAGTAAGAGGTAGGGATTCCTGGGGCCCCTGGAGGAGGCGAAAAGTGCTGAAACTCTTGTCTGTGGAAACAAAGAATGACCATTTGAGCACCTCTGTTGAGAGGCTGCTAACATTTCTGCTTTTTAACTTTTCCGTCTGAAAAATGGAACCCTGCTTCACCAAGGAGTTGAAAAACAAATGAACAAGAAAGACACTGTTCAAATGTAAACAGGCCGCATGAAGGCAAACTGGAGTTAGGTAAAGGCAAATTTTAAGAACTCAGAAGACTATTGCCGTGCCCCTGACTTCACCAGCTAGGGAGACTTCTTTCAAGATAATTTGGTTTTGTCACTAACACTCAATTAAAATCCAGAAAAACTAGCGGGCTCTAAAAGTTCTGGGCTTCTGATCATCATCCCTTTGGTTCACGGCCCCAGTATGTGGATCTCAAAGTAGGGGCTAGGTGGTAGAGAAGTACCTGAGACCTTAGCTATGGGGTTCTCCAAACCTGTTGGCCTCCCTCAGATCTACCCCTGGAACTTCACCCATCCTGGCTCTATTTAGTCTGCTTGCTTACAAAGGCACCCTGTGGCTTTCCTGGACACTCTCATCATTTCTTCTTTTCCAATGCCACTCCTGCTTGAAATGGACCCTCTGCTGCAGATCTCCCACGGCAAAGAGGTCACCCATGACCTCAACAGTGGCTACCATGTTAAGAACCCCTGCCAGGGACTTGTCATGGCCCACCACATCTCTCATGAGATCTTCTGACATTGCCTGCTATAGGGCAGACCTTCAACCTGAGAAGGGATCGCATCTCTCCACTTTTGGCATATTCCCAATGGCCCCAGCCTCCTCCATGGTTGTAGAATGAAATGGGGGAAAAAATGGAAACAGTGGCACCTAGGGGCTTCACAAGTGTAGCAGCAGACCCTATTGTCTTGGGTTCACCAAAGCCTGTGGGGCTGAGGAGTTGCTTCTCAGAGCCTCAGCCCATGAAAGAGAACTTCTCCTCAGAAAAAAATGTAGTTCTGGATCCATGCTGCCTTAGGTTTGGCCTCTTCTGCCATCACATCTTCTGGTCTGGTGTGAGGAAGGAAGTAGAGAGAAATGCTACAATGTCAGGTTTCAGTGATGGAAGGACAAATGATTTTGCCCATGGTTTATGCTAGGGGATGATCCATTCTCACTATATTCTTGTTGCCTGGCAGCCACTCCCACCCTCCACCTGTCTATAGCACTGCCCCTTCGCTAACCTCTAGCTGTTCGAAAGGGAAAAGAGAAACTCATTAGTCATTTTTGCAGCTATTTGCAGTTCTTAGATAAAGGTCAAAAATAATGGTTAAAAAGCTTCACAGCTATTTACTGATTCATGCTATGCTGTCTCCTAATTCATCACACAGAAGAAATTTGGGCATACCAATATTCTTCATCCTAGGTAAATTCATTTATATGTAAGTTTCAAGCTTGTAACACTGATAAAAGAACAATACCAGCTAACGTGCACACCGTACTTACCATACCCCAGAAACTATCCTAAGATAGAAACACACGCATAGGTATATAAATATATAATTGAATGCTCATGAAAACCATTTTACAGATAAGGAACATGAGGCACCAAGAAGTAAAGTGACTTCTCCAAGGTCACCAGACATTAAATGGCAGACCTGCGATTTCCAACTGGACAACCTTACTCTAGAATCTGTGCTTCTAGCCACTATGTTATACTGCCAAAGGGACAACTTGACATCATATAAAAGCTTACATGTAAGGAATTTTCTGGCTGGAGTATATCTATGTTAGCAGATAATAGAGAATATTCTGGAGGGAATATGAACTTCGGGAATTCCTATATACAAGAAAATATTTAGGGTACATGTGAAAGTTTTGTGTCAGAAAGTATTATAAAGGAAAAAAAAAAGGATGTGCTAATTGGAGACTCAGTTCTCCAGCATACACATTCCTGCATCATATTATAGTATATCATATTAGGCATTATATTCTAGGGATCCTTCCCTTATCACCTCCATTAACAGGGAAAGGATTATAGGTGATCTATGAGAATATAATTGGAATTTAATAGTAAACACCAAAGCAAAAATCAGATTCCTTTCACAGAGCACTGAGAAGAAATGCAGAGTCCATAAAGCAAGCTATACATATACTTGAATCAGTTATTAGAGTTAAATAATCCTTGATTATTCAACTAGCTGGCTTCTGTGTGTATCCCAGCATTTTTTAATGGAAAAGTAAGTAGGTTATAGAGGTACCACAGTTTAACTTGGCTGAAATTAAGATGTCTTTGTTTGCATTTTAGATTCAACATATTATGCATCTATATGTCCCTTACAAAATCTTAAAGCTGCTTCCTTCTGGCTAGGACACTGTCCTCTCCTAGGGTCTGGAATAGAATCTTCTTCAAGAGCCCAGAGACCCTGGGATGATAGAGCAAGCACAGTAGGTACCTGTGATCTTGTGATAAAGTTACTTTATCTCCCTGGGCCTCGCTTTTCTCATCTAAGAAATGGAGAAGACGAATGGCTATCTCATAAGTTTACTTTGATGATTAAATTAATACACAAAAGTACTTAGAACAATGCATAGCACATAGTAAGTAGTTAAAAAGAAATATTAACTATGTTGGTAACGATGCTGTTCCTTAACTCTCTATCACTCAAAGAAGCATCTAATTGATTTTGTAGATACAAGCAGAGCTGTGTGCACACAAATGTTTTCCGTTACATCCCATAGTCATTAAAAATAAATTTCTGGAGCAAGTTACAAGATCTTTAGTAATAGTGATTTCTTTCTGTCTGGCCAAGGTGCCAAGGCAAATGGAGCTACATAAAGAAGGAAAAACCAGGGTCTGTTAATGCTGCCTCTGATACACCTTGCCCTACAGGAGAGGAGAGGACCCTGTGACTCCTGGCCTACAGAAAGAACAAGATGTCTCTGGAAGAGGCTGACTAGGAAGGCAAAATAAGCATGGGCTTTGGAGTCAGACAGCTCTAGCTTTGCATCTTTGCTGTGTAACTTGGAATTAGTTCATTTCCTCAGCTGTGAAATGGGGATAATAATGGCCAATATGGCTATTGGGAGGATTAAATGAAATAATGGACATATAATGTCTAGCAGTGTCTGGTATATAATAAATACTTAATAAATGTTCATCCATTCATTTATTTGCTCTTTCTTCTTAAATATTTGTTAAGTGCCTACTATTTGGAGGTCATTTTCCCTTTTCTCTGCTATGATAGATAACAATCACAGGTACTTTTCACAAAATGTTTTCTCATTACAATAAGAATGCTCCCCAGGTAGAAGATCAGCTTGAGAAGCAGCCACAAGAGATCTAATGAAGGATTCTTACAGTGCCTGGGAACCAGGCCCACCCTGTAAATGTGGTGCTTATGGCATGTTAAGCTGGAAAACTGATCAACCAGCTCCAGATAGCCAAGTCACAGATTTGCCTGTCAATAAAATACATGATAACAAGGTACCCGCAACAAGTCTCAGGAAAATTCCTGCTATAAAGGGAGTTAAAAAAAAGCAGTTAGAAGCCACCTGCCTCCCCAGCCTCAGCAGAGAGTAGGCTGAGCTCTTCACAGGAGAGCAGGCAGAGCTGCTGACAGCCAGAGCACTGAGCAAATAATAGAGATGATGGCCCTGGGGCTTTTGCTTTGGAGCAAAAGAAATAATAATAATAAAAAAAAATGCACTGTAGGGCATGCCGATGACAACTGGCTCTGTGGAGTGAATAAACGCTGGCAGTCCTGCTGCCAGAACACACTCCCTGCCTAGGCAGTTCACCCTGTCACCTACCACTTATTACCCACCCACATGAATGCAAAGAGGCAGGTAAACAAGGAGGGGGTGAAAGTAGAAGAGAAAAAGAAAGTCCTTAACTGTTGTAAGGATTATCAAGGCATGAAGCACCCAGCCCCAGGAATACTTTTGATGTTGGGGGTTGTGGTGGGTGGACGGGGGAGTGAGTTTAGAAGTCCAGGCTTGTTGTCCTAGAGTAGAGGTAGGTCAGCTTGTGAGCTGGCCTCTTATTCTGGAGGGTAAGCAGAAGAGAAGGCAGAAAAAGTGCCTGAGCCAGGTTTCTGGGAAAGACCTAATACTGGCAACAAGTGTTCAATGCCTTTAAGATCAGGGGCCAGAAACTGATGGATACGATAAAGACACATGAAGGAAAAATACAGTACATTAATAATGATATTTAGGGATAAGAACATGATATTTACTGAGCACCTACTATGTGCTAAGTATGGAGCTATATCCTTTATGTAGATTATCTTAATATTCACAATGATGTGGAGCAGGTATCATTATACCCGTTTTCCAGGTAGGGAAACTGAGGCTGGGAGCAATTTAATTGACCAGACTGAGGTCATCCAGTTAGTAAATTGTGGAGGTAAAATTCAAACTTGTGCTGCCTGCCTCTTCAGGGACCTAGTGTCTTTCGCATGTACTTACTTGGGGGATTCGGTGGCTTCCTGTTCTGATGTCCTCCAAAGCCCACCAATGCCATAGTAGCAAGGGGGCTGAGCCTGCTCAGGTTGAGATCCCAAGTAACCCCTTATTGGAGGCAGGAAATCACTGGAATGGTGTGCAAAGGATTCTTGCTCTGCTTGGACACTTTGTGAACCCTGTCTTAAGCCCTCCATGTGGCCAAGGCTTAGGGGTTGCGGCTGCTCCTCAGGATTGAGAGCACAGGAACCAGAGGTTTCTGAACTGAAATACTGGGGTGGCAACTCCTCTTCCTCCTCTTCTCTTTCCTCCTCCTCCTCCTCTTCTTCTTCTTCCTCCTCCTCCTCCTCCTCTTGTTGTTTCTGCTGCTGCTGTGGCTGCTGCTGTTGCTGCTTCTGCTGCTGGGCTGCACGAAAGAGCCTGTACTTTTCCCAGTTGGGAGGAGGAGGGCGAGGAGGAGGAAAGGCCTTCTTCCTGGCTCCAAGAAGATCCGGCTGGGTCTCATCACCTTTGCTAAAGAGCTCCCTCCTATGCTGCCCCCAGGTCCGGGTGCTTTGGGGCTCCAAGCTGATGTGACTCTCTGAGAAGGCACGGCTGCGCAATGGGTGGGGCATGGAGGCAAGGGAGCTCCCCTCCTCATATACTGAAGTTTCCTCTGATGTTTTCAAAGCATGTTTGAAGTCTCCAAGGAGGTCGAGAGAAGAAATTGCCCGGTAGCTTGACAAGTCCAGCGATGGGTTCTCAAGGCAAGGACGGGAAGGGGTTGCCCACGAAAAGCTAGTTTTGGAATGAGCCGTCTCCCTGCAAAACATCAGATGACTACTGAGAAAAACAAGCAAGTTGCAGATAGGCCCGTATTTTAGATGACAACATTTACATAAAATTTAAAATGTCCACAAAACAATTTAATATGTGTAGTAAATGTAATAGTAATAGTAATAATAATACAATAATAATAATAGCTAACACTTACTGAACATGTACTAAATGCTAGGCACTGTTTTAAATGGTTTCCATGTCTTATCTATTCCTCACAATAACCCTAGGAGGTAGCTATTACTATTGCACTGATTTTATAGTTGGGGAAACTGAGGCATAGAAAGTTGAAGTAACTTGCCTGGGGTCATAAAGCTAGCACGTGGTAGAGCTAGAATTTGAACAGTTTAGCTCCAAAGTCTGGATATACACACACCATCCCAGTCTGTTTATAGCAGTCAGATTGCATGTGCTGTTTTCTAGGGTTTCCAAGCCTGTCTATCCTGCCTCATCTGTTGTTTTTGTTTGCTTTTCATCATAAAAATTTCAAATATTTAGAGATATACAGAGATTGATGGCCATGATACCCATGCTGCTACCTATCACCCACACTTAGTAAGTTTGAATACTTTGCCATTTATGTTTCATGGATTTTTCTTAAGAAATAATATCCTTCACATAACTCCTCACTTCCATTCCCCTACTGCCTCTCTACATGCAACCTGTATTATGAATTAGATATATATACTTTTTATGTTTTTATACTTGTAATAAAAAACACCAAACAAGTCATAGTTATCTGCTATTTGGGATTTAAAATATTTCCTTCTGGCTAGGCACGGTGGTCTGTAATACGAGAATTTTGAGAGGCTGAGGTAGGTGGATCAGTGATTGAGTCCAGGAACTCAAGATCAGCCTGGGCAACATAGTAAGACCTTGTCTCTAATTTTTTTTTTTTAATTAGCTGGGCATGATGATGCATGCTTTTATTCCCAGCTACATGGGAGGCTGAGGTGGGAAGACAGCTTGAGCCTAAGAGGTCAAGGCTGCAGTGAGCCATCATTGCACCTCTGTACTCCAGTTAGGGTAACAGAGTAAGACCTTGTCTCAAAAAAAAAAAAAAAAAAACCCTCCTTCTAAGGCAATTCCAATCAGAATTCTCAATAGAAATTTTTAACTAAATCTAACTACGATTTTTTAAAGAATTAACTTGTAATAAAAACATGATATAATATTAAAGAATATTCTGCTACAGAAATGAGGAAATGAGGAAAGGGGCAAGTAAGGAATAAAGTATATCATAAAATAATTGCAATTAAAACAATGTGTTATTGATCAACCAAACAGAATAGAAAGTTCAGAAACAAAGCAGACTACCTATAAAAATATCATATACATAATCTTCCCCAAAAAAGGAGATAAAGAAATATTATTCAATAAATGTTTTTGAGATAACTGTAAAGCAGTGCTTTTTGGAGCTACATCATATATTATATACCAAAATAAATTCCAAATCAAGAGTCATGGATATACGTGTGTGTGTGTGTATGTGTGTATAATTTTAATATATATGTTATATGTGTATATACTATGCATGTATATAACATAAGAAAAACCAATCAGAAAATTTAAAAGACTATCATCGTGAGGTGAAATAAGACTCTCATAAGCAATAGAAGAAAACCTCCAAGGAAAATAAGTCCAGGTTTATTTGAATATACATAAAAAGTCAAACCTCTGTATAATAAAGAGTGACTAAAGTTAAAAGACGTCTCTTTAGCCTCAGGGTATAAAGAGTTAAGCCCTCTAAGCCACAAGATGTGGTTTCCTGCTGTAGCCTGTGAGTAATCAGCATCATGCTAAGTCTTGCCCAGTGACAGGAAATTCCAGGGGCTAAATTAAATCATCATACAGAATATCCATTCAATAATCATGATGAAGATTAGAAATATTTCTTTAAAAAATAATAATACACATAATGATAGCCAAATTCGGACAGAATGGAAGACAAAATGTCCTTCATTCCCACCTTATCCAGCCCCCATTCTGGTTAGCTCACCACTCATGTGGATCAGAGATTCATATCCAGACATACCGATTATCTTCTTATTTGGGCTTTTGCACACTTATAGTTCATTACGATTATAACAATGCCTTGTGTTCAAACTGTTCCACATTGCATATTCCCTCACAAAAAAACACCAAAACAAAAACAAAAGGTGATGGACAAGTGGAAAGTAAAAAAATGACAAACATGTACCAGGCAGAGAAGCCTTTCCTGACTACTTTACCTAAATTCGGCACAACTTATATTTAATCATCCTTATTCTACTTTGTTATTTGGTATTCATCTTCATCCCCACCTGATATCATATCACATACCTATTTTTACTTGATTATTTTCTGTTCCAATCTCTAACTAAAATGTAAGCTCCATGAGGGCAGGGATCTTGTCTGTCTCATTCATAGGTTTCTAGTGCGTGGCACACAGTGGGTGTTCAATAAACATGTTTAATAAAGGAAATAATGTCAAAATTAAAGAAAAAATAAATTATGACACTCATTTCATAAGTTGAATTAAAAGCAAAAAACAATAAATAAGATAAAGAAGGGCACTGTAATGTTAACTAGAACACATGATGAAGATCTACTTCCTCTCATCTTTTATTCACCAAAAAACATAGCATAAAGATTCTTAAAGCAAAATCTATAGCAAATGCAAAGGTAGAAAAAAAGTAGAAACAAAATACGAGACTGTTCCAGCTGATGACAGATCATGACAGTCAAAAACTAAGATAATGAGAAAATCTAAATTTCTTCCTATACTGAAACAGACTATATATTTTTCTTTATCAAGGACCCATTGAGTATATTTTTTATTGGCTATCTACTGAGCCCGAAAATGGAAGTAGTACAGACCATGTTCTCTAATGACAATATGGTAACATTAGAAATTAATAATAAAATGAAAAAAAAATCTTCAGTATATAGAAAATAAACAGAGAAAAAAATCTACTTTAGTCAAAGAGAAAATCTAATTTGAAATTGTTGAATACCTATTAAATTACAACAATGGAAATATCAGAAGCTAGAGGATATGGTTGACTAAAGCAGTAGTCAAAGAAAAACTTGTAGGCCAGGCATGGCAGCTCACGCCTGTAATCCCTGCTTTGGGAGGCCGAGGCAGGCAGATCACTTGGGGCCAAAATTTCCAGACCAGCCTGGTCAACATGGTAAAACTCTGTCTCTACTAAAAATACAAAAATTAGCTGGATGTAGTGGCGGGCGCCTGTAATCCCAGCTACTCGTGAGGCTGAGGCTGGGGAAGTGCTTGAACCTGGCAGGCGGAGGATGCAGTGAACTGAGATCGTGCCAATGCACTCCAGCCGGGGTGACAGAGCAAGACTCTGTCTCAAAAAAAGAGAAAGAAAAACTTGTTGCCTTAAATACTTATATTAGTACATATGAACAAATCAAAATAAATGAATTAAGTATTCAACAAAAGAATACAAGAATCATAAAAATCATAAAAATAAACCTAAAACAAGGCAGATAATAAAACTAATGGCAGAAATTAACATACTAGAAAACAAATTATAGAACTAATAATTAAAGCCAAAACCAATTCCTCAAAAGAAAATATAAAACAGTGAAACAGATTAACCACTTGCTAATCTAATTTAAAAACATCCAAATGTGCAAAATTAGAAATGGAGAAATAACCACAGTTACAGAGTAAATAAAAAGGATAAGAGAATATTTTGCTCTACCCCATAAAACAAATTTGAAAACTTAAAGTGTGTTTCTATGAAGACAAATATTACCAAAACTGATTGCGGAAGAATGAGAATATATAAACCCACAAGTTACCATAGGAAAAAAAATGATAAATTTGATCAAAAAGTAGCACAATCACATGGTCTCATGTTAATTCTACCAACCTTCAAGGAATAAAATCAAACAAATGTTATTTGTACTTTCTAGACTCTGGAAATCTAGAGAATAGAGAGAAGAAAAGATTCCTGCATAATATTGATAGTAAAGCCCAGCAAACAGAAAAGAAAAGCAAACTAGAGACCAATCTCATCTAAGAATATAGATGCAAAACATATTAAATATCTTAAATAAAATATTAGCAAACAGAATCTAAGAGATGTTAAGAAATATAATACACCATGATCAGATGGGGTTCATCCTAGAAATATAAGACTGGTTCAGTAATAGAAAATCTATTGATATAATTGACAACATTAATAAATCAAAGAATAAAAGTCATATAACAATTTACCTAGTGCTAAAATGTATTTGATAACAATTCAACATCATTTCCAGATTTTAAAAAAAACTAATAGAAAAAGATGTCTATTTCCATAATATCATCATCAGACTTTTTTTTTTTAAGTCAAAAGCCAATATTGTGCTTAATGGCAAAACACTAGAGGTATACCCATTAAAATCCAGAACAAGGCAAAGGTGCTCACTTTCCTTACTAATGTTTAATATTGTTCTGAAAGCAATAGTGCAATTTGACAAAATAAAGATGGAAACATAAAATAAAGATGGAAACATTAGAAGAAGGGGATACCTTCTCACCATGTATAGATGATATGAGTATTTATCTGGAAAATTCATCAGAAACTTTTTTTTGAGACAGTGTCACTCTGTCACTTAGGTTGGAGTGCAGTGGCACGATCTCGGCTCACTGCAACCTCTGCCTCCCAGGTTCAAGTGATTCTTGTGCCTCAGCCTCCCAAGTAGCTGGGACTGCAGGCGTACACCACCATGCCTGGCAGATTTTTGTATTTTTAGTAGAGACAGGTTTTTGCCATGGTCTTGAATTCCTGGGCTCAAGTAATCCCTCCACTTCAGCATCCCAAAGTGCTAGGATTACAGGTATGAGCCACTGTGCGCAGCCTCATCATAAACAATTTTTAAAATACCAACAACAGGAAAATTCAGTAAGGTGTCAGGGTATACAATTAATATACAGAAATCAACAACTTTTCTATATAGATGCAACAATTAGTTAGAATATATAAAAGAGG